GTCAGGTGTGGGTGTGTCAAGGGAGGGTCTTGTGGTGGGTCACGTGTGGGTGTGTCAAGCGAGAGTCTTGTGACGGGTCAGGTGTGGGTGTGTCAAGGGAGGGTCTTGTAACGGGTCAGGTGTGGGTGTGTCAAGGGAGGGTCTTGTGACGGGTCAGGTGTGGGTGTGTCAAGCGAGGGTCGGATGTAATGGTTGTCAGTCAAGGACTACCAAATTCTAACTTTAGGAAGTTGGGGGGGGGGCTTTTAATTTTCCTATCCTGGCTTCCTGCTGTCAATTGCCTATTTGCAAATTTCTGGAGTCAACCCGCCCCCCCCCTTGGGATCTTGGTCAAATGCTCTGGGCACAACTGCAGGGGGATTCAGGCTTGGCCGCCTACGGCCAGCGACACCAGACATTATTCTCTGGCAATCAGGAGGACATACTTCTTCCTTCCAAACCGCGTCTGTTGGGTGAAGTAGTCGTACCGCTCCGACTTCTTCCATATGTAGTAGTATTCTACGCATTCACCCACCGACCGGGTCCGGACCTGCAAAAACAGGAAGAAGGGTGAGGAGCAGTATGGAAAGACCGGCGTTCCAGGGACCTGCTAGGAATGGGAAACAGATACCAGGATCCTTTAAAACAGGGGTCCCCAACCCCAGGTCTGTGGACCGGTACCGGGCCGTGGCATGCCAGCAACCGGTCCGCACAAACAAGCAAAACCCCATCTGTGGGTTGTAGGCAGCACGCAAAATCACACACTCTCTGGTCCGCGCAAAAACCTTTCTCCATGAAACCGGTCCCTGGTGCCCAAAAAGTTGGGGACCTCTGCTTTAAAATGAATTTTCTCTGCATGCGAACCAGGGGATGGGAACCCTCCTGCAGCCTTGATAGGGGACAAGGGTCAGCATAAAAATAGTCATTTTCAAAAAGACTTGCGATGACCCATGACGACTCACACTTCTGACCGTGATGGGCAGGCTTCGTTACGGCCACAGGTCAAGTATTCTACCTGCATTCTAATTTGGGATTCTGTTCTACGGCTAGTCCTCGGCGTACGACTACAGTCGAGCCCAGAGTTTCCATTGCTAAGCCGACAGTCGTTAAGTGGCTTTTGCCCCATTTTTACGATTTTTTCTTGCCGCGGCTGTTAAGGGAATCACTGCAGTTGTTAAGTTAGTGACACGGTTGTTAAGTGGATCTGGCTCCCCCCGCTGACTTTGCTTGGCTGAAGGTCGCAAAAGGGGGATCACGTGACCCAGAGACTCTGCAACCGTCATAGATACGAGTCGGTTGGCAAGCGGCCAAATTTTGATCACGTGCCCACGGGGATCCTGCAACGGTCGTGTGAAAAATGGTCGTTAAGTCACATTTTTCAGTGCTGGTGTTAACTTCAAATGGTGACTAAACGAATGGTTGTAAGTTGAGGTTTAAAATTTTAATGTTTTAAGCTGTCCATTGTCTGTAGTCAGCATGCAAATTACAATAATGAATAAACGGCTTGGGAGACAACTGCCGCCGCTGCATTGGACCGAGTCGTGCCTTTGCGGCCTCTGACCCGACGTAGGTCTCGACTGGCTCCCTCGTTTACCGGGGAGCTGAGAGAGATGAAACGTCGGAAAAGACGCCTAGAGAGCAGTTGGAGGGCCAGCCGAACCGAATCCGATTGAACACAGGTAAGGATACATGTTAGATCCTACCTAGTGGCGATGAGGGTGGCTAGGACTAACTACTATTCCTCACTCATCGCGTCATCAGATAACCGCCCGGCCGCCCTCTTCAGGGTGACCCGCTCCCTCCTTCAATTGAGGGGGGGGGATCCCCTGGAGGGGAGGGCCGAGGATTTTGCTCAATATCTGCATGACAA